ACTACCTCTTGTGTCACAAGAGCCTTGTTTTCTTGGGAAAACAACCCAAAATCAGCATGCTGGCCAGACAGAGAGATGCTTAGGGTGAGACAGGAGCAGACCTGTCCCCATGGCTCCCCCGGACGGGGACCCTCAGGGTCAGAGAAGAACCACCAAACCCCGGGCTGGGTGGCTGGTGGAGGTTCAGCTCTTCCCAGTTCAATACCTCTTGTGTCACAAGAGCCTTGTTTTCTTGGGAAAACAACCCAAAATCAGCATGCTGGCCAGACAGAGAGATGCTTAGGGTGAGACAGGAGCAGACCTGTCCCCATGGCTCCCCCGGACGGGGACCCTCAGGGTCAGAGAAGAACCACCAAACCCCGGGCTGGGTGGCTGGTGGAGGTTCAGCTCTTCCCAGTTCAATCCAAATCACGAATGGGACAACAGAAATAAATTAAACACTGGAGCCATCACCAGCACTGAAGAATTGTTTTCCCTCCCTCTCTCCCCACAGCAGCGTGCCGTGCTTTAAGCGCTCCTTCCTGCCCGTCCCCGCACGCCCAGCGAGGCATCCCCAGAAGCCCTGCCGCACGCACAGCCCTGCCATTGTCAACTTTCCAAAGCCCCTTTTTTTCCCCCCAGGGAAGACGCAGAGCTCTGCCTAGCAAATTTGTGCCTACCAAGCAGTTGCTTTTTTTAGTTCCTTTTCCTAGCTCCCCCCCGAAGCGCTCCATCAATGTCCAGACCACAGACAGAAAATGGAGAAAGCCCAGGGCTCCACCACCGGCCCCGTCCATGGCGACAGGAGCATCTTCAAACCCAGAAACACGGACTCTGCAGCCCAGGGCAGCAAGGGAAGACAAAGGGGAATTTGCAGCACTCTGGAGCATCTTGCGGGAGTAACGTTACCAAACGCATTGTCAGAAATTCATTCCTGTTGAGCAACTGTATGTTTTCCTTTGGTGCTGCTAACCCCGAATCACTCCGAACACCTCCCTTTCCCCTAAGCAGTCTAAAGCAAATAGACAGTAAGGACAACAAATGCTAATTGTCTCACCAGTTCCTCGCACTGCCAGAGCATCAGAAACCATTCAAACACGCTTTGGAAATATCTTACCGCTTAGATTTTGGGAACAGGCTGCAATGATTGTTTTCATGGTGGCAAGGAGTTCTGCGCCAGACTCTGGTTCAGCATGTTAAAAGGCGAGTTTGGAAATACCGGAGGACGATTGATTGTGTATCCAGCTGCCTTAACCAGCTGACCCAAGGTAAACTGTCTGCTGCGGAGGGGAGCGGACCCACTCTGGCCCTGGATTGCGGTGCAAGGAGAAGAGCTGATGGTCCTCGGGAGGACGAGGAGTTGTGCCGAGCGACAAGGAGCTGACATCGAGAAGGGCAGCCGCTGCTCCTCGGAAAGGCACCGCTGCTGGCACTGGTGGTGGCTCAACGGGAACCGCCTTCCCCCGGGAATGGTACTGTCCACGCTTTGGGTATTTCACAAACCGCTGTCATGCTCTCCTGGTGTGACTCCCCTCCAGTGCCACCCGAAAACGTCATCCCAAAGCTCCCGGTATGGGAACACAGCCTGCCAGACGGGCCCTGAGCTCCAGCCCCAGCATCCAGCACCGTCCCCTCCTCTTCTACCCCTAAGATGGACACTGGGGTCAGCCAGCCCTGCCTGCTAGCCCAGGATGACTGGGATAGTGCCTGGAGAGGACTGGGGGCAAAAATGAGGAGAAAAGGAAACAAGAGCAGCACAAAAGCAGCACTGAGATGGGGCTTCAGGCCAACAGTCCAAGGAACGGTAAAAATCCACAGGAACTACTCACTAGAGCTGCTTCTCAGGATCTACCTCTCCAGAAGTACTTGTTAGGAAGAACTGGCTAACATCAAATGTAGGAAAGAGATAAATGCATGTATAGGATTGTATGCACAGTTAAAGTAAAAAACATGTTTCACAGAAGTCTGGAACCCGCAAAACTTCATAATCCGCTGTTGTAGAGACTCAGTATCTGGAAAAAAGGGCACACCAGCATTCACAGATGTAGATGAGTTCAGAGGAGCCGAGATCGCTACGTATACACCAGCCAGGCTCTCCTGCAGCCTGGCTGGCCCCTCAGGCATGCCTGAATCATGGTAATAGGAAGGAAACCCCCCCAATTCCCTCAGAATGCCCCTGTCCTGAGGTAAGGGAGCACTCTGCTTCTGAACCCAACTGTGCCAAATCGAAGGCAGTTGCAACTAGATGATCTTTAAGGTCCCTTCCAACCCAAACCAGTCTGCGGTTCTATGAAGATGGCAACTGCCTTAGGTAACACACCACTGCACGTGCAAGCAGCAGTGATGCTTTGTTTGGTTTTTTTTAATCTCAACATTTGTAACAGGTTTAGAACAACTGCAGTCACAGCTGCCAGCCCACGCTGGGCGACTCCAGAGCTTCCAGCTGCGACTCCTCATTTCTACACCAGGCCAGCGCCAGGTTCGGCAGAGCAATCCTGCCCTCTCTTCTCACTCAGTTCAGGATTAGCACCAGCAGCTATTTAAACTACCTTCGGAGGAATCCAGACAAGGTTTTCACCCCTTCAGGGTATTTCTGCAAGCAGATTTCAAAGCACACTGACCACCAGTGCACAACTTCGCTTTTGAATACGGCATCTGCTCAGGGAGGCATGGTGGGATGAGCCCGTGGAAAGGCCGCTGGTACCCTGGCTGTGTACAGAACTCCCTGCACTGCGAGCTGGTGTGTTCAGAAGCCTCGGACGAAAAAACTGGCTGTCTTGACATTTCCTACTTCCTATCCCCAGCTCCCTTGGTTGCTGGAAACCAGCCTTACAGACTTGCTCTGGAAGAGCCTAGGATGAAGAGCAAGGGATGAAATTTTCACAGCAAGAACTAGGCAGCACAAGAGATTTTATTTTGCTTAAAATATAGAGGAAAAAAATAAATACATCCACCCACAATACAAAGAGCAGTTTCCAAATTCATGTACTTTTCTTTCAAGGACTTCCTCTGGGAGAACAGAGGCAGTCTGACCCCTCGGAAAGCGCTCCACCCGACAGGAGCTCTGCGCTATCACTGTACGTGACCAGTGTGCTCAGCCTGACAGTTAATGGAAACCAAAGCAAACTGCCACGTTTACTCCTCGGAGCCTGGTGCCTCCCAGAGAAGCCACGGATACCTCCCCGTATGTACAGTGCATTTACTCCTACAGCTCCAGGACACAGGCAATTCTTACAGGATTTCCAGGCCCCGCTCCCTCTGCAGCGAGAGCGTCAGCCCACGTTCTGCCGGTTGCCGTAGCCTCTTGGGTGTGTATCTTTCCAGTCATCCCAGTTCCGAGCTTTTTGAAGAGCTTCCTCATCATCCTCCTCCTCTTTTTTCTCCTGCTGCTGCTTCTGCAACTCTTCATCAGTTACACCTGCTGAAGGTCAAGAACAGGAGTGAGGGGCAGCGGAAGATCCCTAGTCGAGTTCCCTGAACAGAAGCCCTGCCAGGAGCCAGTCTAGACAGAAAGCAGGACTTGCCAAAGAGCAGTTCAGTTATTCTCCCAGCCTGATAAAGTCAGCTCTTCCACTTCCTCAGCCACTGAGTTTTCTACACCCTAAGCACATCCCCATTCACCTTCCCCCCCTCAAGAGACATCCCAAATTCTCTCCCAATCCTCACTTTGCCACTCCGTACCCGGTGTCCTCTGAGGCACGCCTTGAGCAGACACAACTCCTTGCCTTCTGCGCTGCTCGTACCAGTCATCCACAGTCATAGTAGGCAGGCCAGGATATCCAGCTCCAAACACTCTACAGAAAGAGACAAAGGTGGCACTTTACATCGCTCCGAACGAGCGGAAACAGCCATGCACAGAACTACTCTGTAAAGTGCTCGAAAACAAATGTACTTCTACAGCCTGGGCCATCAGCAACAGAGTAGCCAGTAACCTGGACATAACAGCACTTAAAGAGTTCATCCCACTAGTTTGGAGAGGCGAGGACTGTTCCAGTCCAAAGACCTTGAATCGCTTCTCCAGCCCCAAGGAGAACACTCTGTGCTAGCACAGCTTGCCAAGGAGGCCCCTGGGAACCGAATTAGGCACAGCTTGGCTAAAAAAATATATGGAAGGGTCAGGGCAAATAATGTCAAAAGCAAGACAAGAAATCTGGTTTCTATCCCATTTTGTGTTTTTGCTGCCATATTCCTTGCAAGAATCTCATAGCACCACAAAGTGTTAAGATTTCAATCCTCTAGGGAAAGCTTTATGGTTAAAACCTGTATTATTGTGAGTGATGACTCTCTGGTAGGTATCACACCGTCCCAGCCCCTAAGATCACTGGTTCGAATTCACTGAAATCTTCCAGAGTTGACATTAGATTAAGAGGCTGCATGTGCTTTTCACTGCTGGGCTCTTTACTTAAAGAGTGAGGAACAATCCTGTGATATCACACAGAGGTTGGAGGGGAAGATCCACAGCTCACTAAACAGCAAGCACGTGGCCTATAAACTAACACGGTAATATCTGCTTAATACAACCTCCTCTTCTGCCATCCCAACAGGAGGAAATGGCGTTAGCCAGGACGCTGCAGCACGCCGATAACAGAAAAAATTAGAGAAAGTGGAAGACAGGCATTAGTCGTTCCCTCATCCCCTGCCCAGATGCACAACACACACCACCGTGATGCAACAGGCTGCCTGAAGGTAACGACTGGTTTTCTGCGTTTGAAAGAGTATCTTAGGCTTGACGTGAGAACAGAGCACTGCATCATTCTGTGGTCTAAATAATCAGAAAACAGCATACTTAGCCTGAGCAGCGTCCCGGGTAAGAATGAAAGGTTTCAACGGAGCCCTGACTTGCCGAGAAGTGCTGTGTGGTGGTGCTGAAGGCTGAAGATGCAAACAATAGTCACAAGATAATCCTGTAGATAAGAATCCCCTTTCTCTGCTTCCCACCCCAAACAAGTTATTCAGAAGAGAAATGCCTCTGCTGTCAGAGTGACATCCCAAGATGGACAATTCAGGCCTTAATCCAGTTTAAATCGTAAACTCCATCTGTGAGCCTCTCCAAATCACTTCTCTGTGTGCCTTTGTTACAGCCGCTCTGGTCAAAGCAGAAAACTGACAGAGCTAAACCAAATCAGCTCAGATCAAAGCACGAAATAGAGCTTATTTTTCCCAGGGATCAAACACGGTATGTTCTGAAGCAAGAAGAGCTCATCATTCCCAGTGATATCACCCAGGGCACCACAGAAGAGCAGAGCTCTGCAACGCCAGTAACGAACTGCACAAACCAGCCGTGCCAACAAAGTTGGACTATGGTCCGTGTCAGCACATTAAGATTTTTTATTTCTAGACAGACATTTTAGGTGAGTAACACAAAGCCCAGAAACACTATTCTGCACAGGAATTGCAGGTCTGTGAGAAGCTTTCAGCATTCCGAGCGGGCATTTCTCTCTGTAACATCCGGACACTGTGTAGGCTTGAAAGAAATCACAAGTGAGTGGGCATTTCTCTCTGTAACATCTGGACACTGTGTAGGCTTGAAAGAAATCACAAGGGTCTTCTTTTAATTTACAAGTGTACTTAGTTCTTTAGAGTTAAGGGTCTGGCAGAACCCAGCAAAGTGGAGAAAAGCTTCTGCACGCAGACCGGTTCAGCTCTGACATTCAATGCTCTAGCATTTCACAAGTCATGACTGTCTAAGAACATGTGGTAGCACCGGACAGCGACCAATCCAAAAATCAGACCGCTGCCCACTCAGAATTAAACCAAACCCATCCAATTGTGCTGTGATTGAACTAAATTTCAATCGAGAATTCAAAGAATAAAGCTTATGAGACTCTGCTACTGAATCCCTCTGAGGTTCATTTACCCACAACCGTGTCTATCATCAGGTCTAACTATCCAGAGTCCACAGGACCTGCAGCGCAAGAGATCTCTCCTACCTGTTTCGCTGTACCTCTGCTCCTCAGGATGACCATTTCTTGGTCAATACTCTCAATTTCCTCAAGGCCAGTGTTGATCCATTTCTGGATTTGTAGTATGTAAAATTCCCGTATCTGATCCTCATCTGCTTGCCCGCTCTCCACAAAGGTTCTCATAGAGGCCAACCTGTTCTCCAGTTCCTTCTTCTGCTTGTATCTATCTCAAAGAGAACAGAATGAGTTCATTAAATAACCTTTCTCTAGCCCAGCCCAGACGCAGTGTTTTCTAAATGAAACAATTTCCTATTTCTTGAAATTCAATCACGTTAGAGAGCTACCTCCTGCCCCAAGCCCCTTTTAATGCTCTTCATAGAGGTGCCAGTTGCTGACCAGTGCTCATTAGGATATGCAAATCCCAGATACTCATAAAGCTCCTCGAGTCTTTGACAAACCTTCTTGTGTGAGGAGGACCCACTCATTTCACAAATGAGGAAGAGTCCTGGGGAAGCAGAGCAGAGACTTACAGGAATGCATCTGTTAAGAGGAGCACTGGCAGCACCAGCCCATGCTGGAGCATACAAGAGTCATTCTAAAAACCAAACGCATCCACAAGAACCCCGAAAACCACATCTTAACCGGCTGGGCTCCTGACTGCCCAGCCCTGTCCTGTCCTGTCCTGCAGGGAAGCAAACCAAACCACTCCATTCCCCTTTGTCTTTACGTGCCGCAGAGGGGTAAATTCTCTTCCGTTGGCCGCTGCAACCCCCACCTGCTTGCTGGGGCGCCGGATTGCGAGACTAAAGGCAGCTAGGATGTGACAGGTCGGGAGCTGGTGTGGTGACACCGGTCTTCCTAGGAAAATTTTGTTCATGCAGTCTGTAAGTTTTACTGAAAGCAAATGTAACTGCAATGTCTCGTGCTGAATGAGCACTAACCTGCTTACGACAGAACTCACAATGCGGGTACCTCCCGTTTGTCTTCAAGAGGAAGGAGTCACGGCAGAGGCAAACACCAGCCCTCAGCGAGGGGAGTTCACACGTAACCAAAGCCCTACCTACAGCGCCGACACAACTCACTCGCTCTCGGGAGGTGATGCGCAGCTCGGACTCCTGACAAGCAGCCCGTGCTGAGCTGACCCCAAAGGCCCTGATGTATTCTAGCATCCCAAACTCATCTCAGCTAGTTTCCTTGCTAGGATATAAATCATATTTTTGTACTCATACAATTTAAACAGCTCTCCAGCCCAGCTTGGGCCTTTCAGTGCTACCACAATAAGCAACAACTAGACTGTCAAAATCCCCAATTACAGCATGACAAAGAGGCATCAACCACCTTTTTTAAAGGTCTAATAAGCACATTGGTGGAAACCTTCCAACAGGGGTGGCCTTATGCAGTTACATTGATTAAAGAACTAATCGTAAGAGCTTCTGTGCAGGTCTTCTTCAAAGACCAGAAACTAAAGACATAAACACTTCTCTCCGATCTGTGCCCATTCCAACATCATTAAGCAATACATGGTGCCTATCTTAAAATGAATATTTAGTGATTGAAGTATTCCAGTATCAAGGGAACCAGGTCTTTCCTGACAGTCCTTGTCTGTACAATCTCACACTGCCTGAGGCTCTCCCTTTTCCTTAAAAAGATTCCCCAAAGCCTTTAAGCACCGCAAAGCAAGAGCCCACCTTTCGATTTTGGCTTGTCTACTCGACGCCATGGCCACCAGGCTGGGCTGGGCAGCAGCAGAGCCCCCTGGGGACGACTCCCTCTCCGGGGGGGCTGGCGGGGGGCAGGTGGAAGCTGCCCAGCCCGTAGCTCCTGCAGAGCTTGAGGAAGCGCCAGAAGTGAGCCCGAGCGCTCTCCAGGTGCTCCAGCCTCCTGCTCAGGTCGACCTGCTTCAGCGTCAGGGCCCCCAGCAAGGCGGGCAGCAGCAGGTACTTCAGGTCGGCCGAGGCGATCTCCTCCAGCTCCTCGTTTTCGCTGCAAGGGGAGAGACGACCCTTCCCGTTCCCATTCCCGTTCCGCTCCAGCCGGGCCCGGCCAGGCCC